AATTTTGTAGGGTGCCACAAATTTGTTAAAATTTCCAAAGGGTGCCACGAGAAAGGTTGGGAAACACTGAGCTAGAGACATAGTGTATGCTGTCATTGCTCCAGGAATCAGTGAGCTGTCAGCTTCTAAATGATCAGACGCATGTGGTATCACTAGGTGTCTCCTAGGGGGAATGAGTGCAAATCAAACAGGCAGATAGAGATAAATCAGCCTGTGTCCCACTAGCTATAAATAACCTGACTTGAGCTCTCGCTGGAACACGGAGCACTTCACACCAGCCACTCAGACTGGGATAAGAGCAAACAGAGCGACAGGAACTCTGTTTGTGTGTGAGTACACACACATCTCACTCAAATGCATGTGTATTAGCATTAAGCTTCATCAACTCTGGAACTCTCGGCTGGAAAATTATCTCCTTTCTTATTTGTATGTAAACTACCTCATCATGTTTCTCTTCCCCTGCAACCGTCACATTACTCAAAGTCTCTCTTACTTCTCTGTCTCTCTCTCCATGACTCCACAACCCTACTAGGAAGTGTCAGAAAATAGCAAGTCAACAAAAGAAAGGGTGCCAGGGGTACCTGCCAAAATAATCTTGCTTATGAAGCGTCAAAGGCCAGAATATTAGGACAAGCCACAGGGGAGGAAAACTTAAGACAGGGCAACCCACTGGCTCTTCATTAGCTCGATCACTCATTCTCTCAGTAACTATCCATTGAAACAGTTGTAAAGAGCCTTAACGTTTAATGCTCCATTCGCAACTACACACACACACACACACACAAATATATATATATACAGGAAGAACAAGAAAAATAAATATCAAAGGCAATAATAGTGATGCTTTTCTTACTTGTTTATTCTCTCAAAGCGTTATCCTCTACTAGTCTCTCAAGGTGTATTTTTTGCCATCTGTTAACCATAAATGGTAAAAGTGTTCTGAGAGAGAAAAAAGTGTGTATTTCTGAGGGAAGAGTGCTTCAAATGGTGGTTTTTATTCCCCTGTCTGTATGGGCTTCTTCATCCATCTCCTCATATTTAGCCCTTGATCTTTTTATAACGGAGGCTTGCTGCCTGGCCTGCTTGATGGATCAATTCATGTTCTTTTCAGGTATAACTCAATGTAATCACTGTCTATTCAGCAGAGTTCAGGTAATTCAGTGTCAATAGCAATAAAGACGAGTCACTCATCACAAAGAACTACTACAGTATATGTGTTTAAGTAATGAGTCAATTGCTCAGGTTGAATGTTCTCTACATGGAGTCCACAAAGGTATTACAGGTGGTCTGTGGACAAGAATAAAACTTACATTATATTTCTAACAAATAACACTACACTACCATTTAAAAGTTTGGGGTCAATTTGTTTTTGTTTTTTTTGTATGTTTTTCAAAGTCTCTTATTATTATCAATGTTAAAAACAGTTGTGCTGCTTAATATTTTTGTAAAAACCCTGATAGATTTTTTCAGTACTCTATGATGAATAGAAAGTTCAAAAGAACAGCAAGAACTGCATTACAAATGTCTTAACTATAATTTTGATCAATTTACTGCATCCTTGATAATAAAAAGTATTGATTTCTTAAATTGCACTGTAAGGTATAATATTTGTTTTTTGTTAATAATATAATATCATAGGCAGATCTAATTT